ATCTTTTTTAAAGTTTAAAACCTCATTTAATTTTATGTCTTATAGGTTTTAGACATAGTACAATATTGTATAAATGTATTAATTCAACTAAAAATTATAGCCAATTTTGAAAGAGATGCATCTTAGTTCTGAAAATTGTTATTGAATATGCCAATGCTGTTGTAATGAAATGCTTCTTCTAATTATATGGTTATTAAATAAATAATTACAAAAAGAAACACAATAAGTAAGAACTAGAACATTTTTCCTAGTATATCTTCAAGTATAGTTTATTTGGAGCCACAACAGACACTCTCAAAATGCAAGATATAAATGCATGCATACATTCTTTTCTTTAAAAATATAGTATAACTTACGTTAGAGCTATATATGTAACGTCTATTCGATGTCTTGAATTTGCTTTAAAATATTAGTGCAAAAGAAGTATCTGGGAGGAACAAAGGAAACTGTCAAAATATGAAGAACCCGTAGATTTGGGAACAGGCAGTTAGAGTTTCTTCACGCAACTGTCTATATTTTCATGTCATTATATTTGTGTGGCTTGAAAACTTTGACAAAAGTAATGACTTTAAAAAAATTTCAGTGATAAAAGTAACAAGGGCAAAATAAAGATAAAATCAACTATTAAAAGTACTGCATAAGAAAACTGGATAACTTACAATGTTCTGTATAGGATTATTTACCTGACTAATACTTCTGAAAAGTTGAGAGGAACTTAAGTGTCAATCAATAGGAGCTAACGTGGTTCATCTACATCCAATGAAACACTAAGCAAAAATGGAAAAGAACATAGTTGAGTGACAAAAGAGGCCCCATGGCAGCACACAGAGCCTTGTACTTGCCCACAGGCCATGGGACATGTCTTAAGGAACATTCATCAGTGTTCTGAGTGGTCATCCCTGCAAAAAGCAATTGTAGACAGTTTTTTCCTTTTTTTAAAAATTGAACTCTATTACTCAAACTTTTCACAGAAATATTTATTAATTTTATAATTGGGGGAAAGTATTTTCCATAATGATGAACTATAATTTTTCTCATTTTTTTTTTTGGTCTTTTTGAGACAGGGTCTCCCTCTAGCCCCAGCTGGCCTGGAACTCACTATGTAGACCAGGCTGGCCTTGAACTCACAGAGATCTGCCTGCCATTAAAGCCATGCACCAGCATGCCTGGCACTCTTGTCATTCTTTCTAATAGAATGATTGCACGTTAGAATTATGTTAAAGCTTAAGTATTCAAAGTGAGACGGTGATGTATTTCTGAGATATTATGAAATCTAGAACAGATTTATCTCAAAATCACTATGTAGACCAGGCTGGCCTTGAACTCACAGAGATCTGCCTGCCATTAAAGCCATGCACCAGCATGCCTGGCACTCTTGTCATTCTTTCTAATAGAATGATTGCACGTTAGAATTATGTTAAAGCTTAAGTATTCAAAGTGAGACGGTGATGTATTTCTGAGATATTATGAAATCTAGAACAGATTTATCTCAAAATGCAAACAATTTCTAAAGCACATAAATTATTATCCTGAACCATATGAGTGCATTAAAGTTAAAATGTTTAAAACTACATAAAATACAACATGATAACATATATAGGAATAGACTTAGGTATCTATGTAGTTAATTCAAATCAGGTTGAAAATTCTATTAGCTATAGGAAGAAACAGCATTTGGTAGTTGGTTCTTAAAGAATTTGAAAGCATTCCAACAGCTCTATGCAAAAATATTTGTGGATATTTTAGTTATGTGTTTGTTCTTGGAACAGAACAGATGGCAACAAGGAATAGAATGCAATCTCCAGATGTATGATTTTATGAACTCAGTGCAGGGGCCCAGAATGATCAATTCAGGCTCAAGGTTAAGGGTAGCTGGTTCTGCAGCACTCTGGAAGTAAATTCTAACTTAACAATTAACCTTGGAGTCTTACTTAAAGTCTCTTATTTGGGTCATGCCCCAGCCGGAAGATATTCTAGTGGGGTTATACTTTTGAATGTTCAAGCAGCAGCTGCTACTGCAGTGGTTTTCTATTCTGAGAGACCCCAGAACAAAAGGGAAGGGGCCCTGAGGGGGCCTTTCTCAATGGCATTCTTCTTTGGGGTCTATACAATGTAAACCAGTTGCTTATTCAAAGGATGTGCTGTTCCTACTTCCTGGCTGTTTTAAGATTTCAGGGAATTAACAGCTTTCTTCAGAGGGGATCCCTAGGTGTTGCAATCCCAATTCAACTAGTGCAAGGAAAACAAAAAGGTATCAGTTACCTGGTGGACATTCTCTCTTTTCACATCATACTGTAGGCCTTAGGAATGATGAGAGAATTCTTAGGTTTTGCTGTATCCAAGTCAGGTGCCTATAGCAGATTGAAGAACAGCATTTTGTTACAAACTATATTATTTGCAATTTTGCTTCATAAAAGAATTGGCTTCTTTTTTATTTTTGGTATTCCATGCATGTATATAATGACTTTCTGTCATCTCCACCCCCCATTGCCCTCTTGCATTCTCCTTCCTCTTCCACTGAAACCATTCTTCCCAAGGCCTGCTCCTATTTTGCTGTCCTAATTTGTGACCATGAGTTTAATTATGGTTGCTTTCATGAGCATGAGTGGGAAGTTATTTGCTGGAGCATGGGCAACCTATCAGTGGCTACACCACTGAATAAAATAACACCCACTTTGCCAGCAGCCATTAACTGTGCATAGTCTCTCAGGGAGGGGTGGGGCTTCTTAAGTCCCTCCCCTCTCCATGTGGAAAGGTAATGGGCCCAACCTTGGGCAGGTCGCCACAGCTGCTGTGAATTCATGGGTGCAATGGCCATGTCATTCCAGAAGACACTGTTTTGCAGCATCTTCTTCCTCTGGCTCTTATATTCTTTCTTTTCCCTATTTTGCAATGCTCCCCCAGCCTTGGAGTGATTTAGATATTCAATTTAGGGCCGAGCAGAGAGCCTTCTTAATTACTGTGCTTCTACATGATTTGGGGCAAGTTATTTACATTCTTATTTAAGGGTTTTAAAGGCCTAGCCTATCATGAAGTTTTTCAGATTAAAAGAAAAAAAAAATTACCTGGTTCTTAGAAGAAGTAGATTGCCTTTGATGAATAGTATTGGAACGATGCTTTGTAGAAAATTTTGAAGACTCCCGATATAATTTTTGTCTGCAATTGTGGACTGTTCTGCTCACTAACAGCCTGTGTTCAGCCACATCAACTTCTTTAATTAGATTTGCTGATTGTTGCTGTTGCACTTGGGGATCTTCAGTTTCTACGTCTGTTTCAAAAATGTGTGGCTGTCTTTTGAGTTTTAGTGACTCGTGGCTTTTCCCCAAAATTTCTGTTATACACCTGCTTGCTAAATTGTCTTTTCCTTTCATTTGGAGGTCAACAGTGCTGTTTGTCATACCTAAGCTGTTACCTGACATCTGCACCACTGCACTAGTAGAGAATGGTTTACTTTCAATGAGGCTCACAGCCAAGTTTGTATTAGAAGCAGGGTGCTTTGTCTTATAATCACAGGACTCAGTACTTTTTTCTTGAAGTGGTCTAGGGCACTTTTGATTTAAATTTCTATAATGTACTTGAAAGTTACTATTTGTTTTTTTTCTATTATCTGGACCTAAACTCAGTTTGCCTTCCTGGATTACACTAGTTTTAAGTGAAAATGATTTAGGTTCTGTAACAGCATGCTGTTTTCTTTTCAGGTTGCCAAGTGCTGAGGTACTTTTGCTCATTTGTACTGATTTACTTCTGAATACTGGTATGAAGGTAGGGGCTTTATTGCTTTGTGAACAAAGATTTTTACATTGAATTTGTGTATTTTCTTTGTTGAGCTTTGACTCCTCCAAAAGTAGCTGTGGTGTCTTTGGAGGTCTGGGGGGCTTTCTATCTTGAAAAGACTCTGGCTGGTGGTGAGGAACTGAAAATAAGTCTGACTGTGGCCGGCTGGCAGAAGGTTCCACCTTGTGGTCTGCTGCTACTGTACCCGGGAGATGTAGAGCCCAGGTGGGTTTCACCACAGTGGCTTGAGTCAAAGAAGCTCTGAAAATTTTTTTAGTAGTCAGATTGGGTGGTTTAACTTTGTTTTCCTGAAAGGATAGAAATTAGGGAAATTTAAAGATGTAATAATGGTACAATTGAAAAGAGAAATATAAAGTATTAGAATAAGAATACAAAATAACACTAAAATATACAGAACAGCTGAAGAAAAAGAAGACACAAACGAGCCGTCTGGTGTAGTGTGTACCCTTCTCAAGGAATATTCTAACTGCTATATAAATCAATTATGACAGCTGTACACGCAGCTACTGTTGTCTTCCAAATGTACTGATGTACACCTCTGGCTCCCAGAGCCTCCCTCTCCTGTCTGCTCTAAGCAGTGGCTTCTCCTATCTCCTATGAATTCTCTGCCAGTCAGCCTACCAGCCTGCCAGGCAGTCAGAGTGACTCTTTTTCTTTCATCTCTCCAAATTCTGTACTAGTTAGCATTTATTTGTTATAATAAACAATGGCATAAGGTAAGTGTGGTCTGATGCTTTAGTGTCCATGTTCTACTTCCCTAAATTGATTCTGGCTTCTGGGAAGGGAAGAACTAGGGCTCATTTATTCTCAGCTCTTTTAAAATTACTGAAAATACTTGCCAAAAATTAAATTAATGAGGGAAGTGAATGCGTTTACAGGTAGCCCTTAAGAATAAGTGAGATTTTAACTCTAGGGCAGGACTGTCTCTGTCTTAACCTGTTTATATTTTCATTGCCTCCCACAGTGCCTGTTTGAAATACCTGTTTACTGGGTTTTGACTTCTGTAAAAAAGTAATATTTGGTAACCATATGAAATGAACATAGTGTCACTTCTTATCCTTATACAACAAAACCATGTCATGGCTTGAAACAAAAATTTTCAAACTTCTAAGAATAATGTGCAAGCCAGAACAATTGATTTTTCTTTCCAAAACTGATTTTAGTTCTTTTTAAAAAATATTTTATTATTATTAATAATTTTTTATGTGTATGAGTGTTTTTCCTGCATGTCTGTAAGTGCAGTGCCTGCAGAAGGTGTTGAATTCCCTGAAACTGGAGTTATGGACAGTTGTTAGCTGCCATGTGGATGTTGGGAACCGAATTTAGGTCCTCTGCAAGAGCAGCCACTGCTTTTAACCATTGAGCCATCTCTCCAGCCCCCAAGTTTCAGTTCATGAATGGGGCTGAGAAGAGATTTAGGAGAGACTTTAGGAACATCAGAATTATGAATAGGCACGAAAAAATATGAGACTGACTCAGTTATCTATTAGGCATAACAAGGCACATAGAATAAGTGGCTTAAAATTAAGAAACAAACAATGGGACTTCAACATATCAACTTTGGGGGACACAATTCATATACCTCTGGAGAACAAACAGGGGGATGCACTGTTTTTCAAAAGATTCTCTGTACAAAGGAGCTAACATAAAGCTAAAAGCTGTCTGATAAAACCTTGTATGCCATCTTTGTTAGACATCATATGAGCATAGACTACTACCATCAGACCAGCTCAAGAAGAGACGGCCTCTCCTGCCCCCAGAGGGCATGGTAGACTGGTGCTCAACCTCTACCTCACTCTTCCTGGTGCTCCCCTGACACTGGAAATCTCAAAGTGACATTTTCTCCGTTGCAATTAGGACTTTGATTGAAAGCCAGCCAATCAGATGCCAATCTAGACAAAGTATTTGGAAGGGGGACCTAAGGCAAAGCAATGGCTGTGCTAAAAAGTTCAATTGTATTGAAAAACTCAATTATAAATGCCTTCATTGGTTTCAGTCATAGTTAGTCAGAAGCTCCATTGTCTACTCACGAGCTCTGTGGGTATCCAGTACAGAGTTTAAAGCACCCACTCTTTTGTTACAGATAGTATTAGCTAACCTACCAATGTAACTCCCCACTAAGTACTGTCTTTGCTCTATGCATGTTATGTAGGCATAGCAATCATGAAAAAGACTCTTAAATTTGGCTGAAAGTCTACCAACTACCAGGAGATATTTTGCTAGAAGTGATGGAATCACTCTGGAGATGGAATATTTTTCCAGTGTCTTGATATAAATGCATTCAAGGACTAATTTGAAATGAATTAGAGAAAAGCAAAGAACTCTTGCTTTTTGGATCCTTGGGTTTTACAAGCTGCAGTAGAAATTTAAAAATAAGCCTATTACTTGAGCTCCCCAAAGAAAAACTCACTCTAGGCAGATTTCTAAAAGGATAAATAGCTTTATTATGATTTAAACTTTTCCAGAATATGTGTCTGTGCCTGAAATATGTTTATAATCACACCCTGCTTCTTTTTCATCTGTCTCAGAAATATACAACTGGAAAGAATAGTTTCCAGGAGACTGTTATGCCTCCTAGCTTGTCAATATATTATTTACTCATTCTTTTAATTTTTAAAATACTGTAAATAGCTGAAAGGGGTAAACTTCCAGGTTCATATTCAAAATTTATAGAAAAAAACAAAAAGGACCTATGTAAAGAGCAGATGAAATCATAACTAATTCAGAGAACTTGAATATATCTAAATAGTTAACAAGTCAAAGCTTTGTGAAATCATGAAAAAAATTATGTTTTGCTATATCATTATCATCATTATTTTTTTAGGTGTCATTGGAAAATATAGCCTCCTTGATTTCTAGAACTGACATGTAATGTATACACCTTTGTTTATTAATGTAAAATTATGTGAACTAAAAGTTTTATAGACATCTAATGACAACCTAGTATTAAGACAATTACTAAACAAAACTTGAGAAATAACTGGTATGACTATCAAATGTTCTTTATCTGTTAAAATCTGGTTCTGTGCATGGCACCACACCTGTCTGTCTTGCTTAAAGCTGAACCAGAATTCAACTAAGCTTAACTCTAACTCCTGGCTTATAAGAAATACGGGAGTTTGAAGAATATATTAACTTTAAATGGCATGATACACATGTAAGAAACTGCTCAAATTCAGAATGTGGGGTCTCCATCCTCCAGCACAAATGTTCCTGTTTCCTAGCAAATAATTGTCATAAACAATGCTATAGAATACAGAGACAAAAATATGACTAAATGACCTGAAGTGGACTTTGTTTAGATTCTAACTTAACAAAACCCCCAAAAACAAACCTTTGAGATAAATGGGAACCACAGCATGAACTGGAATTTGGTGGTATTAAAGAGCTACCATTAATTCTGTTATGTGTAATAACAACATTGAGTTATGTAGGAATACTTTTTTGAAGCTCTCATGTGGTGGAAATACATTCCACAGTCTTTATGGATGAAATAACATCATTTCTAAGATTTGTTTCAAAATATTCCAGCTTACCCCTCACCTAAAAATATGTAAAGGAGGTGCTTATATGATAGGCATGTCAGTGTTCATTTTCTCTTAAGTATTTTTGATATTTTCCATAAGTTAAAAGCAAACCTAGTTTGGCTAAGAACTCTTGCTAATTTAAGTCTTTAAAAAGTGAACTACATTAAAAAAACTCAGTAGTTATGCAGGCCTGGTTATTTTGGTCTATGAAGAACACTGGTGGGCACTTTGACCTCTGGACTCCTGAGAGGGTTAACCGTAACCATGGGAACCTGCTTTGCTGATGACTTGTCTGCTTCCTTCCTGTCTTCACTGGTGTAGCTCCCAAAGGCAGCCCCTGTGAAACATTTGTGTCCCAGACTCCACCGGAGTCTGCTCCCATAGTCCCATTTGTCTCAGCACCACCACTGTCCCACTACCTCACTTTACAGCTGAGGTAACTAAGGCACAGAAGATCAGACAGCTTGCCCAGTCATACAGGTAAGGAAGTCAAATTTGGACAGCCTGTTTCTAGAGCCAGAAATTAAATTTTTCCCCCACCAATTATGGGCTTAAATTCTAAGTGGGCAACGTATTTAACTGTGTGGACTGTGTGGTGTTAAGATACTCGTGCTCTGTGCTTCAGTGCCTCCTGTAAAATTGAGAAAATAATCCTTAATCCCAAGGTCACTACTAATAATTAAATAATACATGAAGGCAGCTGGCACACAGAAGGCAACAATGTGAATAAAATACATTCTTCTTGTCAGTAGCCAGAATTTCCAGTTAAGTGCTATTCTACACTTATGAAGTAAAACTTCATGAGTTGTCCTGATTCATAGAGCAGACATGGACTGAAAATATGAAGTATTCAATAAATATAGTTAATAAAATTCATAATGTATTAATCTTCTTAAAAGCAATTTCTTGGATTGAGATTTGGTGGGCACTTAAACTTTTAAAAATGATATGCCTGTCTAAGTTTTAATACTGTCATGTGGATAGCAAATAGAGATCTCTCTACTCATACCCCTTTTGCAGGAAATGGCCTTGCCTGTAGGCACTGATGCTCAGCTTATCATGACTTTATTTATATACAGTGTCTAGGGGGTTGGTCCTTGACCAAAGATAGAAAATCTATGGACTGGCTAGTGACAGATGATGTGGAGGTGGTCAGGCCTGAAAAGATGAATGGTCTCAGCCGTTGGTTTTGGTGAATTTCATCTGAGGATAACAGAGTCTTAAATCACCAGCACAGCTACAAAAGCTGAGAAAATGACACAAGGTGTAGTGTCAGGTCACAGGAAGTCAACACAGGAGAGTCCAATCACTGGAGCGGTGGAAATTACAATAAACAGAAACTGCTGTGTATGAAGAAAGCCGACCAAAAGACACAGTGATGGCCAACCAAAAGACACAGTGATGCAGAAAGAGATTATAGACCATGTGAATGATCTCTAGAATGCTCTTGGCCCCTGGTGGATTTCCAAATATCGTTCCAGTATTAGTATATCCCTATAAAACACAGCAAACCCCTCCTTATCAGTGTGTAATCGCGAGGCACTTTTCCAGGAGCACAGTTTTATCTACTAGTTGTACACTACCACAGGAGGTTACATTCAGAACTTCCATAAGATTTAATGCAGGAGTTTTCCCAAAATGAACCCGTGGACTCATGGAGTATGATGACAAGGTAATACTATCTTCTGCTGTACCATTCCAGTCCTCCTAGTAGACAGCTTTGAATAAAATCCAGCAGGCCCACAATTGTTCCTACCACTTTTAGATAACAAATAGCTGAGCCATGTCCAATGTCAACAAGTTCAAGCAACCAGGAAGATAAACAATCTTAAATTCGTGTGTGTGTGTGTGTGTGTGTGTGTGTGTGTGTGTAAATGCATAAGTATGTGTAAGCAGGACATAAAATACACCCAGCATCCTGATAATTTAGACTATAAATTAAGATTGTTGTTAAAAGACATCATTAAGAGAATAAGAAAGTATGCTACAGAATAGAAGATAAAGTGATTTTTAGAACCAAAAAAGAACTCAAACCTGGCTTATGTTAAGAATACCTATAAATGCATTTTAAAAGCACACATAATAGTAGGAAAATGACATAGAGGCCCTTCAAGTCAGCTATTCAAATAGTCAATATGCATAAAATCAAGAACATGCAAAAAACACATGATAATAAACACATCTGCAGAATTGCTAAATGCAAAGAGTGACAATACCACATATGAATGAGGATGTGGAACAATAGGAACAAACTCTCCTACACTGCTTAAGTCAGCATGAGGTTCTCAGACGGGTACAATCACTTTGGGAAATAGTTTGGCATAAGTCCTAAAGCTGGAAACACGTACACTGATTCTGCTTCTAGAGGACTGATGTACATGTGTCTAGGAAAAATGCCCCAGAATGTTCAATTCAGCATTACTTCAAATAACCCTCAAAGAACCAATCCGGCTGTCCATTAGCAACAATGTTCTGAACAAATTAACTGTGGCACAATTATATAATAAAATATTACATGAATATGAAGGTGAACTAACTACAGCTAAATGGAGCAGCATGGATGAATGTCACACACAGGCATGCAAGGCAAAGAGACAGACACAGTACACACACACTATGAGTTCCTTGCATAAAGTTCAAAAATAGGCATGACTAAAACATGGCTTTTAATGATACATGCTTAGTAAAAAGAACAATTCCCAAGAAAGTCACGCTCAATAGTGGTTACTTTTCTATGCTTATGTTGGGAAGCTGAGCACAGGAGGCTGCTTTTGGAAACATGGACAATTGACAATTATTTACCAAGGCATACATGTGTGTATTTTGTATATTTGTGTGATATGTCACAAGAAAAATGGATCTAAAGTGAAGGGGGACAAACTCAGAAGCAACTCTCCTTCCCCTAAACTCTGAGTCTGATTTCAAGTTAAGTTCTTCCCTTGCTATGATAAGTCTGGGGTGCAGCACAGTCCCCAAACAGTTATTTCTTCTTTCACTTGTCCACCAGCAGACAGCCTGGTGTGCTAGTTTCTTATAGAAATCAATCCAGATGCAAACACTGGCTGTGGCTTGTCTCCTGCTGAAGGTTTCAAAGTACTCTCCTGACTCCATCTAGTGGACTTCAGGCACCTACCTTCTTTTAAATAGACCTGCACCTTCATGTGAACACTCTTCACAAAATTCCCTCTGTATAGTCTCTAAAAACTCAATTTATTTGTATCTTGACAGGGATGAAACATTTCTGAAAACAGCTACCATGTGCCATGTAAAATACAATAATAACAAATGGGAGGGTAAATGGTTAAGTGCAGTAATTAATAACAACGAAGAGCGTTTGTGAAATGATGAACTGAGAAAAGTTCTTGCACAAGGGGTTGGTGTGCCACCAAAAAAGGCAAGAGATCCAAGGAGGGGGGTAATTAGAGTGTCAAACAAATGAGATAAAAACTCGTCTTACCTGTATATGAGGCTTGGTCAGCTCCCATGTGTAGTAGCATGGCTTATTTGTCATCTTTATGGGAAATCCACATATATGAGGCAGTTTAGATTTTAAATCTGAAAGAAAGTTTTTCAGCACACCTTCCAAATCTACCCTTGGAAAGAACTGAATGGGCTGACTTCTGATACAACTGAGAGGGTACCTGAGCAGGGTTAAAGAGCAACACGAAGAGATAAGAGATGTCTTATACGAGTTATAAGAGATAACAATTTTTATTTTAAAAAGGCTTACGATGGCAATGTTGAAAACACACGTAAACAAATTCTATTTTTATGTTGTATATCCCATACTAGCCAAAACTAAAAAGCATTCTTTCTACTTTTAT